TGCAGCTCTCATGACAAAATAGCTTTAAGCCCCAGGCAGTACATTCCTACCGCATTTCCAGGATTCACCCCCCACCCCCAACCCCAGATCTGCTGTGCATCCCGTGGGCCACTGTCAACAGCTCGACTGAGCACCAGCCCTGAAGTTACTCATGCATCTTTTTCAAAGGAGGAGAAAATGCCTGTATATTTGTGCCTAAAACCACACACCACATGTAGTCGCTGCAGTTAGACGCCATGTAGTCTCACATGACCCCTGTGGACGGGCCCGCCTGCTGACAAGCCCTCGAGTTAGCTGGGCTACTTGAGCATGGTTTGCCTCCCATCGCGGGCCACCTTCGAGTCGCCAGAGCTTCAAACACAGTGTTGGCCAGTGTGTCAACAGAGGACATCAATGCAAGAGTTTCTGTAGCTCTGCCTGTAGGTGAGTAACACCCGCCCCTCCCGTTTCTGGGGAGCAGATGCTGATCAAGGAGGAAGGAATTAGCTTGTCTCCAGGGCCCGGTGCACCACCACACTGCCTTCCAGGGGATAAACAGCCAACCAAGGGCGATGGGTGTGTTTTGCTGAAAAGCCCTTATTTATGTCTATTCCCGCTACAAAAAAATACCCGGTGCAGGAGCCCTGAGTGAGGGGCTCCGGCTGGGCTCGCCCTTGGGTTCTGAGAGCCTGGGAGGAGCTGCCCCTCTGTCCTCATGGGCACATGCTCCTCCAGGTCCCCCTTCCCGCCGCTTAGCGGCCTTCTGTTGGCGCTTCCGTGAATCAATGTCAATAATAAGGTTCGCGAAAGGACCTTTGTCGGGAGAGGTGTTTGGTTATGTTTCTTGTTTTCAAGGCGTCAACATAACATGCCACATGTCCACGGGGTGCGCTGGGATCTTTTTACTTCCATGCAACTGGCCTCCGCATGCTGACCTTGCCTTTGACAAGATGGATGGAGAAACACTCCTTGGTTAACAGGAAAACGATTTCCAAGCCTTTCATCTTCCCTCTTTAGCAAGGAAGCTATTCATTATCAGAATCACACAGGTGATTGTGATTAATAGTATATCAACCCCATGAAATTAATTTTCCAAGGTCACTGTGAAAAATTAACTTCTTCCATTTCTAGCCGCCCTAAATCTTCCACCTTTAAAACAATCTGCTACCTCTAAATTTTGTCATATTTAACCCTCTTGTATCTTAATAAAATCTATCCTTGCCCTAGCTGGTATGACTCAGTGGATAGAGCTTCGGCCTACAGAATAAAAGATCTTGGGTTTGATTCTAGTCAAGGGCACATGCCCAGGTTACGGGCTTGATCCCCAGTAGGAGGCATGCAGGAGGCAGCTGTTCAACGGCTCTCTCATCTTTGATGTTTGTATCTCTCTCTCCTTCTCCCTTCGTCTCTGAAATCAATAAAAATATATTTTTTTAAAAAAATCCAGCCTTAACTATAAAAAAGAATGAATGAAGCAATGATAACACACATATAAGACAAACTAATAGAGGAGAGAATTTTCATGAACTGAACACACCAGTATGATCAAGATTCAGAAGCAATTTCAACTCTCTCTGGATCTTCAATGCACTCTTTACTAAATCTTATGACCAGTCTGTCACATGGAATGTAACCCTTTAGGTACAGTCACATTCAATTATGTGAATATAAGTTTTCATCCAAACATACAAAAGAATATTTTAACAAATATCAAAAGATTGTTGTCTCAATGAGGTGTAGCCAGTATAATCACTGGATTCCTCTGTTGTTGTTAGTCAAAATATTTAAATAATTATGATCCTTGGGACACAAGACAACTTCTTTCAAACATGCCTCAAATTTTAAAAGTGTAACGAAGGCCCTGGCCTGTGTGCTAACTGATTAGAGGGTCGGCCTGCTCACTGAAAGGTTCAGGTTCAATTCCTGGTCTAGGGCATGTACCTGAGTTGCGGGTTCTATCCCTGGTACCCCAGGGTGTGTGCGGAAGAGAACCAATCAATATTGCTCTCTCATATTGATGTTTCTCTCTCTCCTTCCCTCTCTCTAAAAATCAATGAGGAAAGTATTTTTTTCAAAAGCAACAAACTAACAAAACAAAAAACTCACAGATACAGAAAGCAGAACAGTGATTACAGAGGAGAAGAGGGTGAGAGAAGGGCGACAGGGGAAGGGGGTCAGACACCGTGATGAAAGGAGACTAGACTCGGGGGCCGGGCACACAGTGCGCAGGCGCCATAGCATAGACATGTGCCTGAAGTGTGTGCCTTATTACCAAGGGTACCCCCTGCATGTAGTGGGAAAGGGGACCAAGCAAAAATAAAGAGCACAGGCAGCTTCTAGTCCAACTGCAGGGGGCAGTGCGAGCACAGATGGGCGAGGAGCAATTTCCATACAAATTGTTAACTTTCTGGGGAAAGGTGAGTACAAGGTGCCACAGGTGGACGAGAGGGGTCACAGCCATTCATAAAAAATTAGATGATTGATAGAGATAGATAGATAGATAGATAGATAGATAGATAGATAGATAGATAGATGATAGATAGAGATAGAGACCGACAGAGACAGAGATAGAGACAGACAAGATAGATAGATAGATAGAGAGATATATATGTTTCTTATATTACTTCTTTGAATGGAATTGAATCCACTATCCCACAGGGGTCCAGTGCAGACTCAGGTCCTACCTAAACGAATTAAATACCTCCAGTCAATTCATCCCACGTCATGCACACTGCTTGGTTGAAACCCCTCGGTGTCCCGAATGCCACCCTGAAGGACGTGAGGCTAACCACACGTGCAGAGCTGTGCCTTCCGCCTCGGATCATCACCATCTCAGGGCACCTCTGGGGTCTGGAGGCCCAGGGAGACACATGCACAGTCCCGTCAGGAGTCGGTTCTCGGCTCCTGTGGCATGGCTGCTCCCCCCTTACCTGTGTCTTCTTTTTTTCCTTTTTCTTTTCTAAAAACATATTTTGTTGATTTTTCACAGAGAGGAAGAGAGAGGGATAGAGTTAGAAACATCAATGAGAGAGAAACATAGATCAGCTGCCTCCTGCACACCCCCTATTGCGCCTGTGCCCACAACCAGTGTACATGCCCTTGACCAGAATCGAACCTGGGATCTCTCAGTTCTCAGGCCGACGCTCTATCCAGTGAGCCAAACCAGTCAGCTTGCACCTGTGTCCTTCGAACGGTGTGTGTTTCAGACCAGCACTGACAGGGGTCCTGGGCAGAGACGAGCAGAAGGGAGAGACCCACCTTCCACCAGGAGGCAGCCCTTCAGTGGCCTTCGCTCCGGTCCCCTGGCCGGATCACAAGGGAGCTGCCCTCCGAGACCTTCCGCCGGACCCTGACATGGCCGAGGGCTGGACCACAGCTGGTCCTCCTTCCCTTCAGGCCCTCGAGGCCTGTGGTCCTCACTGTGGGTGGTGGGCAGCCGTGCAGGCACATCACCAGCCGCCGGACACAGGGCCATGAGCATGAGCCAACCAGCAGCTTAGTAACCACACAGCAGCGTCTGGGCCACCGGCCAGCTGACTGCCCGACGAAAGCCTCACTGCGAATGGGATGGCACTGGAGAAAGGCTGCAGGCGACAGGCAGGGTGCTCAGAGCAGAGGCACGCCCTAGGAGAGGGCCGAGTGGCAGCGGCGCTGCAGGAAGCACAGAGGCAGCGAGAGCATCGCCCACTGGGAAGAGCATGATGGCCACGGTTCCTGTACCTTCCCGCCCGAGGCCGGCCTTCGCTGCTCTGACAGAAAAGCACTGATTTGTGCTTCCTTCCCGGGAGGACAGATGGAACAGAGAGAGGGCAAACCTGCAAGAGCCCAGCACCCAGAGATGGACCATCCATGGGGACCAGTGACACGGGGTTTCCCTTGGTTACATGGAGGGAACTCCAGGAGAAAGACAGATGGGAAGCTGTCTTGAACTGTTGCCACGTCACAGGGTCACAGGGACCCTGGGGAGGGGACCGTTCAAGCTGGAGCCTAGGAGGAGGACTAAGCTCCCCTCTGACAGGGGGACTTAGAATCAGAGCATCTGAAGTAATCTGAAAAGTAACCACATTATTTTAAAGCTTAGATCACATGTCCTTATGAGACTAGGGCCGTGGTTGGCAAACTCACTAGTCAACAGAGCCAAATATCGACAGTACAACGATGGAAATTTCTTCTGAGAGCCACATTTTTAAACTTAAACTTCTTCTAACGCCACTTCTTCACAATAGAGTCGCCCAGGCCGTGGTATGTTATGGTAGAGCTGCATGTGACTCTGTGCCGCAGTTTGCCATCCCCTGGGCTAGGGGATTAAGATTTTCTTAAGTTTCCTTTCCTCGGCCTGTGCAAAGCAATTAAGGAGGTGATGCAGCCATGAGTCCAGCAAGCAGAACCGATAAGCAATGGTCAGGTCGACCAACCAGGTGTCAAAACCTCATCCCATCAACATCCTCCCATCAACATCCTCCCATCAACATCCTCCCATCAACATCCTCCCATCAACACCCTCTCATCCCCTGGTGACTAAGGACCAATAGCTGACTTCTGTCCCTGCCTCAGCCTAGCCCTTCCCCGTTATAACCCCGTCCCCTGCACCTTTGGGTAAGACAGGACTTGATGCTTGTAAGCGCCCTGTCTCCTTGTTGGCCAGCCTTCTCAGCAAACACTTCTGTGCTCCAACCCTGCCTTCAAATTGGACACAGCGACAGGCAGCCTGAGCCCGCCCAGTGTTCCCAGTAACACATCCCCAGTAAACAACTCTCCACACCTCCCAGCAGGACACCATCCAAGGGAGAACCCATGGGACCCAAATAGATCATGAGTGACATGTCATCGCCCCCATACACAATGAATGACTGTGGGACGCCTCCCATAATAAATATTTATTCATCAAAGCAGCTGAAGGAATGGGAAAACACGAAGAGTAAAAATACAAGACAGCAACTTCAGAAAAGGTGCTATAATTTAATCAGTCCTTTGAGGGCTTGCAAGGAGTCACCAGCCTCTGGCTCCACGGGACGAGGCCACTACCTCGCCCAGGTCACAGCATCCTTGTGGGCTGCTGGGCCCCCGGGGGCTTGGTCTGGTTCACGTTCATCCTCCTGGACTTGTCCATGGTCCGCACAGCCTTCTTCACCCAGTTGGCTTGCGGGTCGGCGCAAACTTTAATGCCACGTTTGGTGATGAATCTGCGATGTGAGGAAAAGGCAGACAAAGTGAGCTGCGTCCCACAGCCCGGGCCCGGAGTTCAGATCCGACCGGCTCTCAGAGCTCTTGCAGAAACTCCAGGATGGAACAGGTGTTTGGACCCTGAGCGCACACACACATGCAAAGCTTTCTCCTACAACCTGTTTTAACACCCAGGAGATGTGTCTCCAGGTGATCCTGTAACCCCAGGCACCTCTCAGCAGAGCACCGCGGGGCCTGTGACAGCATCTGGTTCAGTGACCACATCCCAGCCCCTTCCTTTTCAAACCTAAGCGCATGCATCCCATTTTCTGCACAAAAGCTGTTTCTTTCTCTTAGTTCTCTGAGCAGCATTGAAGTTACTACAGGTTGGGAAGAGCTGCTATTCTGAAAATGAGGACCCGGGGCAATGCGGGCCAGTTTTGACACATTGTCTGGAGACATGGCCACTGGCACCCACGATCCTGTACTCCAAAGAAGGTGAGGGGCCAGAGGATTCCATCGGAGTGCGGCTCAAACTCTCTGAACTTGACCCTCCGCACTGAGCAGTGTCCTCCGGTGCTGCTCAGGCTCCTGCTGAAACTGCCTCGGAGAGGAGGAGGACGGTCCCCCTCTGGTGGCCGCACTTTGGTGACAGCCACTCTGTGGGCTGCGCAGGGCAGGGTGACCGTGGGGAAACCCAGGGGCGGCTGGCGGAGGGGAGGTCTCCGCCCACGTGGACCTGCTTCCCTGCGGAGGATGTCCACGGCCTGGCCACCCAGCCCGGCCCGGGGACACTCACATGACTGCCTTCATGGGCCCCTCCTTGATGGTGTAGGTCTTGATTCTGCTCACGGGCAGCGGCTGGGTACTCAGGCTCAGACAGATTTGCTGATCCAGAACTTCAGTCCCCACACCTGGTGAAGAAGCCAAGCAGACAGAGATGCCATGTAACTGCGATGGTACAAGCCTTACCATGTTGCCAAGGAAACAACGGAGAGTGGTTTGTCTCAGATACGGAGGAGGGCACCATTCAATACACGGGGAGAGCGTGGTTTTGTTCTCGCTTAAACGACGAGATGAGAGCCGTGGGAAGGAAGTGGTTCAGGAAACATCGCCCTCAGTGGCAGGGCCCACAGGGAGCTGGCAGTTTGGTTTAGGAACTACCTCCCCTGGCGGAGGGAGGGGCTGGGAGAGTGAGTGACATTCCGGTTTGGGGAACTCTCACCCCATTTCCAGGTGCTGCTTTCTCCTCAGCTGAAGGGCTTGGAGTGCTGCCCAGAGAACTATTCAGCTGCAAAGCACCTTAAGTAACAGCTGGGGCTTTCATTTTTAAATATATTTGTGTTTATATCACAGAGGAAGGGAGAGGGGAAGAGAGAGAAACATCACTGAGGAGAGAGAATCATGGATGGGCTGCCTCCTGCACACTCCCTACTGGGGATCCAGACCACAGCCCGGGCATGTGCCCTGACTGGAATCAAACCTGAGACCCTTCCGTCCCGAGGCCTACTCTCTATCCACTGAGCCAAACCAGCTAGGGCCAGCCAAACCTTCTTTTCATATGAACTAAACAAAGGTGTTTGCTACCTTGCCCTCTTGGTCTCTCCTCTCCATCACTTCCTATCGGTCACAGAACCTGTTTCTCTCATCACTTAAGGAACAACATTTTCCTGGGAAATATCCAACGTGGGCTCCCGGGCCCAGTGAGTCCGCTGGCCTCTCAGTCTCCACAGCTCCTCCCTCCACCCGGCTGTGCCTGCGTGACTGCGGAATCCGGTCAGACGGCACCTGCTGTGGAGCTGGGTCAGGCCCCGGGCCGCCTCCCCCTGGATGTGCAGCAGCGGCTCAGGCCAGGGCGCGAGAGGAACGGGAATCTGGCCAGTGTCCGCAGTCTGTCCGCTCCCACAGCGTCTCCCCACCCACACCTGGTCTCCACAGATGGCCCAGCAGCGGGAGGTAAAACGCCAGCACGTGGCAACATCTGGCCATCACTAATAGCCTTACACACACACACACACACACACACACACACTCACACACACACACAAACACACACACTCACACACACACACAAACACACACACACACACACACACACACATATATATATATATATATATATATATATATATATATATATATATTTTAGAGAGGAAGGGAGAGGGAGAGAGAGACAGAAACATCAGTGATGAGAGAATCAGTGATCTGCTGCCTCCTGCACTCCCTCCAGTGAGAGCAGTATCAGTCACCCCAAATTCTCCCACCTTCTCTAGGGCAACACTGATTTCTCACAGGAAGGTGTAAGCTTCCAGTCTATTTTTTTAAGCAGAAAACCCTGACTCGTTTCAGAACACACACCCTCTAGCCCATCCTTCCCTTGTGGACTAAACTCTCCAAGCTTTTGAGACCTCATCGGGCTCAGTGTCACCTGGATGAAGCTATAACGGCCTCTCCCAGCCTCAGCACCGTCCCACCACCGCGTTCACCCGGGAGAAAACCCAGGAGCGGCCCTCAGATTGAGTGCACTGTGACCCCAGGGGAGACCTGTTCCTGTCCTCACCCACAGATGGCCGGGCATGGGCCCAGAGACATGGAGAGATCCCCCGAAACCCCCCTCTGAGCCCAGCCCTGAGGCCAACCATGAGGCCCCCTCCACTCACAACTCTCATGCCCGCTCTGCCCCAGGGAAGCCTGACGTGGGGTGGCAGAGCCTCCAGGCCACACCGAGTCCACACGGAAGCCCGTGCCCGCCCCCACCTGCCCCTGCCCCCTGGCAGCCCCACCACTCACCTTCCACAGCGCGCAGCGCCAGGCAGCAGAGCCCCAGGAGGGCGAGCAGCAGAGGCCTCATGCTGGTGAAGAGTGAGCAGAACCTGAGGAGGATGAGCCCAGGCTGCTCGCTGGTCTCTTTTATCCCCATGGTCAGCGCTTCCTGTACGGGAGGGGGCTTCCAGGTGGGCGGGCCATCGCGGAAAGTCTGGGCAGCACTGAGGCTTTTCTGAAAGTTCCCCTGTCACAGTCCCCCCCACCCTGTGGCCTCCCCTCTTCACCTGTGGTTAACGCGTCAATGAAAGCAAGTGTGCGCTTAGAATATTCCAGTGGCCGCACCTCCTGCCCCAGCCTCCACTCAGATCTTCCGCTGTCCACGCGGCCTGGCCCGTGTCCCTGTCCCCGGCGTGCGCACAGCGGAAAGGAAAGGTGGTCCGTGGTCGGGTTCCCACCTGCCTCCCAGGACACGCTGTGACATGGCTTCCGCCATCCGCGGGGACTCCAGAGGGGAGGCCACGGCTGCCCCTCGGAGCTCTCACCCCTCTGCCTTCTCTTTCTCCTCACCCCCGACCCCAGACCCTATTCCAGTGACCCCACTTCTTCACACCACCCGCCCAGGGACTCGGGACATTTCGGCCACGGCGCTGGGAGCGTGTCTAGGGCACCTCCCTTTATGGCAACGGAGTATCCACCTTTTTACAGTTTCTGAAAGTTGTCCTGACATGAACATCGTTTTGGAAAGAGAAAGAGAGGACAAAATTGATCATGCTGGCAGTTTTCATTCTTCATGTTTTCCATGGAGTCTCTATTGGTGTCCATCTGCTTGCAGAGTTGCAATAATTATAAACACTGTTTTACCGTCAAGGTAACTCTCTTCCATGTTTTGATCACAGACACGTTGAAACACTTCCCTTAGCTTATTGCTGTAGATCCTTCTCTGTGGGATCTTTCTCTATGGGATCTTTCTCTTTCACTAAGGACCCTGAGTCATTTCCCATCAGCAACCAGGACCAGGATGCTGAGCAAAATCATCCGCTCAGCTCCGCAGACTCGGGGTCCCCTGGCAGGTGTAGGGGCCCAGCGAGCAATGCCTCCAGCAGGGCTTGTGTGTCAGCCCTCAATTCATCCTTGTTTTCGTCTAGTCTGGCTCTGCACAGGTATGGATAAGATGTACTACTTAGAAACGTGTGTCACTAAAACAGTGTCCCATCGCACCCACACTCTGTTCTCAGCCCTGTGCTGAGTACACCTGCTAACTGCTCTTCGGTGTGTCTCCTCCTCTCTTCCCACCCTGGTCCGGGCAGGCCCTCATCACCTCTTGCTGAGACCAGCGCAGTAGACAAACTGGGGTCCCATTCCCAGTAATGGGGAAAATGAGACATTCTGGGGGTCCAGCAATCTGAACTGGGCCATTAACCTAATACACATTCTTCTTAGCCTATCGTCTAGTCTCTGCCCCTTTAATTGTCTGGTCCTCCCATTCCAGAGAGACCATGAACCATCCCCAGACGGAGTTATCAGTGCTGGTGCCAGGCCAGGCCTTTAGTTGTGGGCTCAAGACCCCAGCACATGGGGCTCTTTAAGAACTTGCAAAGGGAACCAGAAAACCCTAATTTGGGAAACAAAGAACTGGAAAAACTATAAATAGGGAAAGCTTCCTCCATGCTTTTTGCCCAGAATGTGAAAGACATTTTTCTCTGAGCCCGCATGTAATAATAATTCAGTGTAACTCCGTTTCTCTAAGCGTTGCTTGGTTTTCTCCGGTTTTCTGTAACACCAGGTCACCTCCCTGTCCCATCTGCTCTCCAGACACCGCCCAGGAGTCCCTCCGCAGCCCTCAGGGAGGAGTGCTGCTCCTGCTGGGAACCCTTTGTCAGTTCCCATTGTCCACGCTCTCATGTCCAGACTCTCTCTGTCAGACACCAGGCTATTCAAGAGCTGACCCCACTCCACCTCTCAGACTCACTCAGCCCCACCACCCACCTGCCTGCTCCCAGGCCTGCACCTCAGCTGATGTGCATGCAGTCAGCCACACATGCCATCCTCCTTCTTACTCTCACGTGCGGCTTCCTTCACCTAAAGGCCATCCCGGC